TGTACCAAGCATGGTTGTGTTGTGCTCCAGCCGAACTCTGACGGTCCCGTAATCGGAAACATTTGCGGTTGCTTCAACTAGGATACTGTACTTGTGGTGTAGATTGCTGGTGGGTGTCTCTTATGTAATGTCACGTGCGTGAAATTGCCCTGGGCTTATTATGTAGGCCTCAAAGGATACAATTCAGTTTACCATCCATTCCTGCACATGTTTTGTCATGGTCATGCAATACATGCCGCATCCTTCGCATGCCATTTGCACAATAGATGAAGTGCTTAGTACTACCGTGTGTGGCAGAATGCAGAAGGTGCTCCTAGGTATGCTGAAAGGAGGTGCATAGGTGAGTCCATGAGTGGGTTGATGGATTTGTTTTGTTGAAGGGAGACAGGTTTGCGAGATACAGTAAATCATTTCTCTGTAACGCCTGCCTGCCACTGCAACGGGTTGGTTGGTGGAGATCAACATTTCACTGCCATAAGCAGAACCCCGTAGTGGCAATACCGGTAGGGTTGCTGGAGAGGTGGGTGGGTGTCTGATGGTTCAATAAGGTATTTTGAGACGTCTCAGAACAAAGCCATCAACTGGGCCCACCACTGCTGCGAATAATCCGCGTGAGATGAGTCGATTTTTTAGTCGACTCAAAAATTGACGCATCTCACGCGGAACAATGCCATCAACAGGGCCCACCACTGCTGCGAATAAACTTAAGTATGGAATGGAACAACATTTTGTTTCAGTGCCATTTGCAGAACCCAAGGCTGACGTGGCAGGATGCAATTGGTCTGTTGAAAAGAGCTGGGTCTGTGAGTGGGTTGACCAATGCCGCAAATAGGGCCACTCCCGCAACAAATGCTGAGCATATCACTGAAAACAGTAGGGGGAGGTTGTGATAAAAAGGGGGTTGTGATAGAGATGGGGTTGTGACAGAGAGAAGGTTGGCCGAGGTCGCAAACAGGGCCACTCTCGCAACAAACGCTGCGAATATCACTGCAAACGATACGAGTTGTGTTGTGATAAGAAGGGAGGTTTATTACAACGTGGACTGCTTGTTGATAACGTGCAATGAATGTTGCACATATTGGTGCAAACAGCAGGACAAGGGCTGTTGTGAACGGGGTTGATAACAACAAGACAAGAACAACTCCTGCATTGAATACTGGGTATATTAGTGCAAGGTGACACCAACAAGGTGCTATCGAATTTGTGCTGGTGTGTCAGAGCTGCTTGGAAATCGGGGACCCCCAAGGTGTTAGGGCATGTTCCTACGCTCTTATTAGGCAGACCTCTTGTCAGGCTTGCATGTGTTTCAGGCCCGCTAAGGTTTTCAGGTGTAGGGAAATTTCAATGTGTTGACGTGGACCTGATAAGAGTGCCGTGTTCAATGTGTCGTGACGCGAGCCTGATAAGAGGTTGGCCTGATAAGAGGTTGGCCTGATAAGAGGTTGGCCTGATAAGAGGTTGGCCTGATAAAGGGCCGTAGGAACATGCCCTTACGAAAAGCGTGAGCTGCCACTGACGCCCACAGGTGTGGTGTTGGCTTACCTACCATAATTTAGGGTGTGCCTCGCCCTAGAAATACCGTATCTGTGCCGGTGTGTAAGGGCTGCTTGAAAATCCGGGACCCCCATGGCATTGCAGAACGCGTGAGCTGCCACTGACGCCCACAGACTGCCCTTGTGGTGTTGGCTTACCTACCATACTAGCATTGTTTCTCTGTGGAAAGCTCACTGTATCTGTGCCGGTGTGTCAATGCTCCTTGGAAATCCGGCACCCCCATGGCAGTTCACTGGGCCACGGCACCCCCGTGCCTCACTGGACCTACCCTACCTGTGCCGCCTCTATCGACTCACCGTATCTGTGCCGGTGTGTCAATGCTCCTTGGAAATCAGGCACCCCCATGGCATTGCAGAAGGCGTGAGCTGCCACTGACGCCCACAGACTGCCCGTTCTCAGAACGGTGAAAGCAGCAAGGCAGCCAAACACCCACGTGAAGGCCATCTGGAACCCTGAGAGGCAGGGAAGGGAAGGGATGGGAAGGGAGCAAGGGAGTGGAGAGAGTGAGAAGAGAGAAAAGGTGTGAGCTGCCACTGACGCCCACAGACTGCCGGTTCTCAGAATGATGAAGGCAGCAAGGCAGCCAAACACCCACGTGAAGGCCATTTGGAACCGTGAACAAAGAGAAGGGGTGGGCAGGGGAGAGAGGGATGGGATGGGATGGGATGGGATGGGGGAGAGGGTGAGAAGTGGGAGATAGTATGAGCTAGAACTCTCAAGAAATGTTACCAGGGATTTGTTTAGAATTCTCAAGAAATCCCTGCATAGTATGAGCTAGAACTGACGCCCACACAGGCTGCCCGTCCTTAGAATGATGAAAGCAGTGAGGCAGCCAAACACCCACGTGAAGGCAATAGAACATACTTTGAGTTGCTTACAACCAGGTTGGAATAAGCGTGCGTGCAAAGCAGATGAGCGCGCGGGGAACACACCAACCATGGCAAGAGCTTGGGGAAGGGAGCAGCGATGGTAGTGCATTAGGTTCCGGATGTGATGCCCGTGTGCTGCCATGGGGGGACGAAGGTGAGGGGGAGGGTAGGGATGGAAAGAGACTGGAGCGGGGTAAGGAAGCTATGGCACCCGTGGGAAGGACCCGAGGGAGGGGGGAGCAGCGATGGTAGTGCATTAGGTTCCAGATGTGATCCCCGTGTGCTGCCATGGAAGGGAAGGAGCGGGGGGGGGGGGGGGGGACTGCTTTTGAGTCGACTCAAAAGCATTAGGTTCCAGATGTGATCCCCGTGTGCTGCCATGGAAGGGAAGGAGCGGTGGGGGGGGGGACTGCTTTTGAGTCAACTCAAAAGCATTAGGTTCCAGATGTGATCCCCGTGTGCTGCCATGGAAGGGAAGGAGCGGGGGGGGGGGGGGGGGACTGCTTTTGAGTCGACTCAAAAGCATTAGGTTCCAGATGTGATCCCCGTGTGCTGCCATGGAAGGGAAGGAGCGGTGGGGGGGGGGACTGCTTTTGAGTCAACTCAAAAGCATTAGGTTCCAGATGTGATCCCCGTGTGCTGCCATGGAAGGGAAGGAGCGGGGGGGGGGGGGACTGCTTCTGAGTCGACTCAAAAGCATTAGGTTCCAGATGTGATCCCCGTGTGCTGCCATGGAAGGGAAGGAGCGGTGGGGGGGGGGACTGCTTTTGAGTCGACTCAAAAGCATTAGGTTCCGGATGTGATCCCCGTGTGCTGCCATGGAAGAGAAGGAGCGGTGGGGGGGGATGTGGGAAGGGTGAGGATAGCGGAGTGGGGGTTATGAAGCCATGTCTCAGATGACAAGGCAAGGGAGCAGTGATGGTAGTGCATGAGGTTCCAAATGTCATGGCCGTGTGCTGCCATGGGGGAGGTGGGTGTGGGAACAGTGGGGGTTGGGAGGGAAGCAAGGAGCGGCATTTTGGAAGTAGGATCTCATTTCACTAGGAGCACAAGATGAGTAAGGTCCTGACAATTACATTACACAACAAAAAAACAAGAGCACACTTTTGAGTCGACTCAAAAGCAGATTTACTAGGAGGACAAAGATGAGAAAGGCGTTGACAACTGAATTACACAGAACAAAAACACGAGCAGAGACAAAATGTGGTGGAAAGTAGTCGTGAAGAGGATTCTGAGGCATTTCAAAAGTGGTGTGGAGAGCAGAAAAGAGTAGACATTGTATGAAACAGCACCTAGGCTGAAGAAAAGCGGGCAGATGAAAATTGTCGAGGTGACCGAGAAGCCGCCCGCAAGAAGAAGCGGACACAGGGCTGCCCGGAAAACAAACTCCTCACTGAGAGGAGCCTGTGGGGTGGAAGTTACAGTGAAGGAAAGGCAGAACGTGGGGGAATGAGTGAGGGGAGAAGGGAAGATGGCCTGCCACCTCAGCCAGCGCTGGTCAGTGGCCCTCCAGCGCTCCCAGGCGAATGCCCTGCACACCAAGGCCAGGGCGGGGATTGAGGCAGCGCACCCCCAGATGGCAGCGGACCCATGGCCGCTGCACCTAGGGGACATCCTCCACACGCTGGAGGGTTAGTGGGGCACTAAGGGGGGGGAGGGAGGGTCAGAGGGATGGGTTGATGGGTCGGAAGGTATAAGGGAACCACGAGTCAAATTGCATGTCTGTACCCCCTGCTGAATTAATACAAAGGACCATTTGAGAGAAGACAATGGAAGAAGCTTTAGCCACAAAATTCCTCTTTGCCCCCATTCTTCGTATTCTCTCTCCCATGAGGAATTAGTCCACGTCTGCCCCACGATACCTCAACATTTCCACTTCCACTTATCACCTATCACATGTTTCATTCCTCCTTTCCCCCATCACTTGCCTCCTCCGTTGCCCTTGTTCTCACCACCACCAGGTTGCGGGCGTGTAACAGCAGGTCATTCGGAAGCACTGGCAGCAGCAGTGGCTTAGATGCATGTGGAACAGCTCATCAATCAACCACACATCCCCTCTATCTCCAATCCCCTATGCCATGCCATGCCACCCGCATTGCCCCTGTTCTCATCACCACCAGGTTGCGGGCACGGAACAGCAGGTCATTCGGAAGCACCCGCAGAAGCAGCGGCTTAGATGCATGTGGAACAGCAGCAACACCACACGCACCAACCACACGTTCCCCCTTCTCCTTGTTTGAAAACATAGCATATCCCCCCCGCACTGCCCCCTGTTCTCACCACCACCAGGTTGCGGGCGTGGAATAGCAGGCCATCTGGGAGCACTGGCAGCACAAGAGGCTCGGACGCAGGAGCCACTGCAGCGTGGGTGACACATGTTGCCCCTGCTTCACCTGTCACATGCCACCCTCATTTCCTGTTCTTACCACCACCAGGTTGCGGGCGTGGAATAGCAGGCCATCTGGGAGCACTGGCAGCAGCGGCGGCTTATAAGCATGTGGATCAGCAGCAGCAGCAGCAGCACCATCAGAAGCACCATCGGTAGACCCACTAGCTAGAGCGGCGTAATGGTGGTTCCTATGCCTCGCAGAGGCTAGGGCTTGGAGCGAGTTGAATGCAGAGAGAGTGAGAGGGCCGAGAAAGAGAAGAGCCACGAGGAGGAGAGGGAATGCGAGGGAGAGAATCTGTTAGTGAGAGGAGGGAGGTGGGGAGGAAAGGCGAAGGAGGGAAAATGGGAGAGGGGAAATGGGGGAGGAGAGTGGGGAATGGGAGAAGTGGGAGAGGGATTGCAGTGCAAGCAACAATGGCAATCCCTTTAGGTATACTGGAATGGCTTGTTAACCACGTTTCTAAAGTCAAAGACAAAGAAGAAAGAAAGTCAGTGGCTTGATATTTGACCTGGTAAGCAATGGCAGGAAGTGTGGTTACCAGGTGGTCAGGTTGCAGGGTTGATCTTTCAGACAGACTCAAGAATCACCTACTTACCAGGTAGTCAGGTTACAGAGCTGATTTTTTCACTCAGACTAAAAAAAACACCTCCGTACCAGGTGGTCAGGTTGCAGCGAAAGAAGGCGAGGAACAGAGGGCAGAGGGGCGTGGGTGTCGTCCAACTGCAGCACGCCACGTGGCACACAGAGCAGAAGCAGTGGTGTGCAGACAGAACGGAGTGCAGAGCAAGCACAGGATAGGAGTGTTGGGTGTTGAACAGTTGGTATGAGAGAGAGGTTCGAGACGAGGATAGGGTGTGTTTGTGTTAAGCACGTGGTATCAGAAGGAGGTAGGGTCGGGTCGGCCCTTCATTTCAAGGGGGGTAGAGCTGAAGAGGTTAAAAAACTTCAAATGATGCATAATGAATGCACATATACTTTGAGAGCAATGAAATGCGGAGTGCAGAATATTTTTCGCTGTGGATAGGGAGATTACGTTCCGAGCACACTTGTGAGTCGACGCAAAAGTCACCTTTTAAGTCGACTAAAAAAAGCGCAGTGCAGAATAATTCTCGATGCGGGACAAGGAGATTACCATCTGAGCACACTTGCTGGAACATACCAGGCCAAATTTCGCGACAGCCGCGACAATGGCGGCGGACGCCACGCAGGAACCAAGCACGCTCGTGATTCGCTGGCACACGACACGTGGGTCGTCGCGATTGGCCGGTGGAGCCCCGCGCAAGATGCGGGGAACCTCCCATACGTACAGGGATAGCACGAAGAGGGAGGAGATTAAAGCGGATAGGAGGACGGAGAGAAGCGGGTTCATGACTGGAAGCAGGGTAAAGATAAAATGCTAATTTATCTAGCTGATGCACAGACCGGTCGCGTAATCATGTCTCTACGAAGGTTGCTTACGACTAGCAATGTAATTTGGATTCACGACATGCGTCCTGTCTAGTTTGTTCGGGAGGCAGTCTGACCACCGCCTTCAATAAAACTTCAGTGTAAATGCTTAGCCAGCTCAAATCAGTGAAGCATTCCTGGAGCGGGGAAACTACTGAAGGTATTCCCGTGAATTGAACGGCGGTCAGGAAATCCTCTCAAAATGGAAAAGGAGGTTGGAAATTATTGGAGGCGCAGCACAGCCGACCTGACAAAGGCTGGCGAGTTCGCTCGATAACGAAATTGATTAGGCGATTCTGCCGCAAACCTGAAGAAAACTGGCGAAATCTGAGAACTACCAGACACGAAATGCTGTTATCTCCACTGACGAAGTTTTCGAGCGTCGTGAATAAATTTCGATTTCCAGAGTTCGCTCGACGCGGCTTTCTGGAATCAAACGTCACGATTCAGTTTCGATTTACGGTTTCCTACTTCCACTCCACTCCTTCACTTCCTCTCCGATGCCCGTATGCGGGTCTGAGAAACTGGAGCCCATATAGCCCAGACTGTTAGTTAAGTTCAAGCTTGGATGTTCAACCTGCCACCCAGCAGAACTGTCATTCTTTCACTTGGAGTTTAGTGGTGCATTCCAGTTGAAGCTTGCGGCCTGAGTTAAATAACTCTGTACCTACTTGGCTCGTTTTCGTTGTGTGCTCTGTCTGCGATGGCGAACCTCCATAGAGACGTCCGCGCTTTTGAGAAAGACAGGCAAGGAACCTCAAACGCTCCTTCGAACCGCGCTTTGAAGCAGCAACTATCCTCGTTGATAGCTTTCGAGTCGGCGTTAAAGCAGCAGCTGACCTCGCTTGCTACCGAGACAGCGGCAGTCGCGGCACACGTGGGAAAGGCAACGCGTTCCGTTGTAAGAACCTCGCGTTGAGACGAGGTGCGGAAACGTGACGTGTCAGGATTCCCTGTAAGAGAACCTTCATTGTTTGGAGTGGTCCAGAAACTCATATAGGTGTGAGGAGTCCAACGCCTTTTGATGCAAGAAATCGCGACTTGAGGCGCCTCCGCACAGCTCTGGAAGGAGTCAGAAGCAATGAAACGTCATTATTGTGTGTCCACTCTCCACAGTCTGGAAAAGGAATTGTTGACTTTGTTATCACTCACTGACACACTGCTCTGTGACTGCTGTTGAGTTCCCTGTGACCGCACTGACTTGCGTTGCCTTCCTTTGTGCTGCGTTGACTGCCGTTGGCTGGTGTTGACTGCCGTTGACTGGCGTTGACCAGCAACTGGACGAGGCATGCAAGGCCATGGAGAGCCGGAGCAACCTTATGGCAGCCACTGAGGAGGTACGCTGAGAGAGACTATAGAGTAGTCTCAGAAAAAACTTTTGTGTACCCTGCTGTCAGCCACTGAGGACGCTGGGAAGTAGAGGCGACTCGCAGGACTGGTTTTGCTCTCGGATCTAAATTATATTGTGGAATGTTGACGTTGCTGTAGCTGGTCTACTGGCATAAGTCTCACAGAACTTGGAATTTATTCCGGGCTTGATTTCCCTTGTTCTCCCCCCTTCATGACCCTTCCATCGCTTCCTCTCCTCACCCTCATCTCTGCAGTCCATTCAGAAGATGCCAGCTGTCCTCAGCTCATTGGAGGCCTATTTGGACGAATCCATTGCATGGTGCGTGCGGGAGAGGCGAGGGTGGGAGGAGGTGGGGTTGGTTGTGTGAGCCTAGGATTGAGGGATTAGAAAATGGGGCAAAGGGGAAAGGAGAGGTATAGAAACGGGGGGGAGTTAGGAAGGGGAAGGGGTGGGAGGGGGTGTGTAGTACTATGGGTTTCAGGAATTCGTAAGCAGGAAAAGACTGAACTGGGGAAAATGGAGGGGGGGAGGGAGGGCGAGGAAGAGCAGGGACGTGGGGCCTTCCTGGGGTATGTTCCGAGGGGAAAGTACTTTCCTGCTAAGGTATCCATATTGTATGTTTTCTATTCCTGTGAAGATCTCTGTAACTGCATTTGTTGACATGTCTTGTCAACAATGCCACCATAATGTTTAAATATCCATACCAAACAAAACAATCACTGAATCATGCCTTGCACTTCAGGCCATTTCACAACGCAATCCTCATGTCTATCCAAGCACTTTTTTAGCCCATGTCTTCAACCTTACCCTTCTGTACCCATGTTTTCGCCATACTTCTCTGGCAGTGCGTCGGATCTACTACATGTGGCCCCCTTCCCATTGCAATCGCCACCTCAACCATCCCATGTGTCACATGTGTCCCACACGCCCAGCATTTCTCAACCTCTGAAGCAATCTCAACCGTCTCATACGCCTCATGGTTACAACTCCCCAGCAGCATCCCAAAATCTTCACACCCATTTGCATCAGCCAATTCAGCTGCTGCAATCCCCACAATGTCTGCATGCTTCATCACACCAACAGCAGCAACATCAACATGCCGGGCAGGGGAATTAATTGTCGAAACCAACAACATCAGTCACGCCAATTGCCGCCATATGTATCCACCTACTCCAACCCCAATATTCAATTGCGTATGTGTTTCCATTGCCTTGTACGGTAAATAAAATGCATTTATTATCATTAGTGACAGTGTGCATTGATTTGCACGTTGTCAAAGAAGCTCAACTGGAGCGAGCTAGAACTGGAGCAGGACAAAGTGCAAGAACATCTTTTTCAACACAACTGAGTGCCAAGGTTATTCCAAGTATTCAAAACACTCAAATCCAAGCTTGTAATGATGTAGTTGCACCACATCTCAAGCAGGGAAAGTAATAACAAGATGTTGAAGTGACCCTGATTGTACTTTGTCCACTTAGGCCTTAAATTAATGCGGACAAGTCGTTTGCCAAAAACTATGTTTCATTACCATGAGCATCCACTCACTTAGTTCGATATCTGGAAGAGAGGAACCCACAAACAGGTATTTCATATTCGCGATGGCGGGAAAGATTTTGAAATCTTCCCCGCCGGTTGGCGCATTTGGCGTTTGGCCTTGTGTCTGCTACCTTCTCCGGCCACTTATTTCGGCGGGGACCCCGTCATTTTGGCCTCCAATAAAGGGAATCTCCCCTCTAGGATTGATCCACGTGACAGATCGTAAGGTCTGGTGTATTTTCTTGATTGCGTCGCATCTTCTGAGTCTCGAAAACCCTGGAAAAGCTCCGAGCCACACGCTGGCGCATATCTGTGGAGGCTGAAAAACCATGTATTTTTTCGCTTTATCTGGACGAGTTGCACCAGCAAATGCAGCACCATTGGTTCAGCCAGAATCCTCGACCACACTGTTTCAAACCAGGAATTTTCTAAACTCTGGGCAAATCGGTATGTTGTTTTCCGGGATGGGGGTTATTTTCCGCACCGTAAAGGTGTGCTATGTGTTGCTACCAGCAAGGGTAGACAATGCAATGCCGTATGGAAGAGCTATGCCTGAGGTCCGGCATTTGACGATTTTTCTCAGGTCAGGTTGAGAGCAGTTTCCTACCTTGTTACCAGTTGGATCCGATGGCCGGTTGCCTCTCCCAGGTGTCAATAAACACCCCCTTGCTCACTACAGCTGCACACCTCGTGAATATTATAACTTTATCCTGCACTACTGGCGGAATTCTTCGTTCATACACTCCTACAATTCATGATCTACAGTTTTCAGCAGCCCAGCGCTGCGCCGTTTGGCATTCTTCTGACAGCTCTGCCAAGGTGGCATATGGTCTGTGCAAGGAGAGCCTCAATCTTTCTGACACCTTCTACCAACCACTCGACGGCTTCTGGTTTGGAAAGCGTAGGCCTCGAAGTTTCGGCCAATATCATAGGTACTCAAGTTATTCCTGAGCGTGTAATCATCAACAGAAACACAGTCTCGTGATCTAGTAGTAAGTGTTTCTTGTGGTGTTCTGAATACAGTCACTACAGAAAATGCAGCATCTGAAAAAAAAAACTTGTAGCGAACCTAGATGAATTTCGAGACAGATCAACCCTAACTACGGGAAGCCGCCCACTTCAGGAGAAATATATTGCACTTTCTTGACCCAAAAAATAACACTTCATCGGAATGGGATGCGACTCGGGAGGCATCAACCCTAAAAACAATGCCCTTTCCCGTGTTTAGGGTTGATCCCTCCCGTAAATTCATCCAGATTCTATAGGGGTGTAGTTTTTCTGCCCCGTCGTAAATTTACGTACTTTAATTGAACATATCCAGGCTGGGAGGGTAAACTATATAGTTTTGTTTTTGTCACTTCTTTAAGATTACGACCAGCGTAAACAATGTGACTAAACAGCGACGACCAATCAAAGTTGAGAATGTCCAGGTTGGTTACACCTGAGATCCCGCTCGGGACTAATCTGAGTATGTATGAAGTTGGCCGTCGAAGTTTCACCAGACTCGGCACACCAGGAGCTACTAGAACCTCCAACCCCATTTACAGCCAAAAATCCGAGGCAAGCCAGTCATAATTCGCTTTCCAACCGCATCCGACATTCCGCTTCCTGCGTCCCGCTTTCTCACATCCCAACCACATCCCATATGCCCCCATCATGCATCCTGCATCCCCATCCAGGGATCATGCCGCTTCTCCCACATCCACATCCCTTCGCACGGGCTCATGCACCCTGAAAGCTGGGACGGGGATCCCCAAGGATCCGAGGTAGCGTGTTTTCGGCAGTCTCGATGGCGGAAACCCGGAATGCCTGAGGAGAGGAATGCACTGCTTACCATGGGTGGTCACGTGACGGCGGAAACGAATTCGCCCGAGTGACCGTAGAGGAGCCAGATCCACTCAACGCGACCCTCCAGTAAGGGCGTGTAACTTTTTTGCATTTTGTGATTTTGACGTACCGTCCGATTATATGGAATCGGACGGTACGTTTATAACGAAACGGACTGTCCGATTTGAATGTTTGCAACTTCGGACTGTACGAATGCATATGTGACACTTTTTCCACATGCTAGGGTTCCGCGATGGTTTTCCCTTCGCCATCTAAAATGTACACCAGTAACGCTAGTCACAACCCGTCGCAATTTTCGCCTGTGGAGTTCAGCGCTTCAGACATCCATTTGAAATTTTCAAACAAGCACAAAGGCCGTGTTGGAACGATCAGGTATCTGGGACTCTTGTGTTTCGGGCCCAGCTGTGGCAGGAGTGGTCGTATTGGCAGAGGCCGGTGGCGGGGAGTTGGGAGTGGTGTAAACAGACTGGGTGTTCTGCGCGTAGCTAGATGGATCCATTGTGCAGAGTAGTGAGTAGAGTGGGTCAATGTCGTGGCATCTTGTATTGTAGTGAGGTAGTTGTGATTGGTCAATGTCAAATTTTGAATCCGAGTCGCATTTTTCAATGTTTTGGCGAGGCGGTCCGCTGAAATCCAAATTCGCCCGCCAATCACGTGCGCGGACAGGCGGACAGTCCGTTTGTGTTTCGGACCGTCCGTTGTCAAAGTTTCGTGTCGTTGGAAAGTGGAAAAAGTGTCATGAAGGTTCGAATTTGTAGCGACGTCGCACACATCCTCGCGAAGAACTGCACGACATTAAACGAAAATGGTAACCCTTCGCATCGACGTACGGTCCACGGTTCGTTCCGTCTAGTGCAAAATGGTTACACGCCCTAATATCCATCAGCCTGTTCGCATAGAGTCAACTCATTTCACTCTCTTCCGCGTCTCTCAGTCTGCTGGATACTCGCTTTTCCTTCTCTCAATCGCCATCTTTCTTTTGGGGCTTCCAAAGTCTCTCAATTGCCATCTTTGTTTTGGGGCTTCAAAGTCTCTCAATTGCCATCTTTCTTCTGGACGTCTCTCTCGTTAGATAGAGCGTCTGCCACTTCCAATTCTCTTCGTCTCTACAATTACAGTAACCAGCTAATCTATGTCTCCGCCTACTACCATGGATCACACCATGCCAGTTGGATTCGACGACGACACCCGACGGAATTCGGCAAATTCCACTAAGCACGATCAGAATTCGACGTCAGCAGCTGCGACCGCCGGCAGCGGTTCTCCATTCTCCCGGCAATCGTGCTACACGCCTGCATCGGAGCAACAAAGATCGTCACCTCCCGCCTGTCCCCAAGCCCCGCGACCATCTGGGCGCGGCCTCAAGAGACACATGCAGCCTTCAGAAAACCTCCGGCGACTCTTCAGACCAATCAACTTCGACGGAGTCACGTCTTCATGAGATCGTGATCTCACAAGATCGCTGTCAACTCTAAACCCCATGGCGGGTCCCAGCTTCATCAGGCTCCTCCCGAGGAGGAACCTGGTGCGATGATTTGTATCAGGAGCCTTGATTGGGCTCTTCAAGAAGTGGCTCTTTGGATCAGTTGATTTCTGGGGCAGAGCAAAGGCAGTTTGTTAATAGTTACTCTTCCAGCCTCCAAGTATAGCATATCATGTATCATGCAGCACCAAGCTGCTCGATCGTGGAATAAGATCAATCAAAGAGAAGGCCCTCGCCTTGTATTACGTCGACACAATTTACAGGAGCACTGACTGTACCCAACTAGATGTATTTAAGTTCTCACCCTATCCGAAGTTACTGAACACCTTCTTGCACAGGTGGTCTCCATAGACCACTGGCTCCAGGCGAGATCGGCCCATAGTCTTCACCAGAGCATCTACAGGCTCCACTCTTGCATCAAAATTTGGCTGCAAAGGCGGAAATTTCAAGTAGGAGGTAAAACAATCAGAGAGTAAAGATAATCAGATAAAAAAAGACAGTGTGGAGAGAAAATGATGCTATGAACATTGCATATGTAAAACAATGTAACAATTTTCTATGCACGCACTTCATAAAAGAAAGGCACCGAAACTCGGAACGTGCGGCTTCTGTTGACAACACGATGGGGAGTTGGCTGGTAGAGCCCGTTCGTCCAGAGCTGCTCACATGAAACAGGCAGTGAACAAAGACTCAAAGGACGCTTAAACACATGTTGAGCTAATTTTCGGATCATGGATGTCAACAGGCTGATTCAAGGCAGGTGCCTTGGATCTGGAGAACTTTTGGATCTGGAAAATTCAGTGCATGCTGCGCATGCCGCAACGCCAAGAATGGCTGTGTTGACAAAGTTTTAAAAAGCTGACAAGAAGGCCTAATGGAACTGTCGCCACTGAATCTAGACATATAGAACTCACCACTACTGAGGCCCAGCATGAGTGATTGACTAAGCAAGGGCGGGAAGAACATGAGTGCACTTTCCCTACCTTGAGCATGTCACCAATGTTGACCACGAAGCTTCCTGGAACTGGAGGAGCATCCACCCACTCGCCAGCTTTGTTCTTCACCTGCCCTTCCAAACAAAAAAAGCAAGGAGATCAACGAAAGTTTCCCAAAAAAGGTATGAGTAGCACATCAATAAAGCACAAGCAGTAAAAAATGCAAGGTTGTACCCACAGGGCTGTGGCAGGCTGTACCTGCAAGACCTTACCTGTAGGGCTGTAATCCCAGGATCCTGATTCACAAAAGTGAGAAGACCTGCAGGGGAGCACGGTGCAGCAGACACAAGATGGAGAGAGATAAAGCGTCATTTGTACGGGAAAAAAGATGGGCTCCAGTGTGACGAAAGAGAAAACATGCCATTCCTACCCAAGGCAAAGAGAGGCTCTGAGAAAAATTGATAAGGGAGAGGAAAGGGAGCCGTACGTACCATAATCCGTGTGCTCTCCACTGGAATAACAATAGCCACATTTGTACCGTTCGAAGTACCATTTGTCCCAGTCGCATTTTTCCCAGCAGTCATAGTGCATGATAGCCGTTTGCATGGAACATGAGAAGGGTCAGGGGGGGAAACAGGACGGAAAGAGGGAAGTGGAAGTCAGACGTGGCAAAGTGTCTGTGTTGTGCAAGCCTGAAAAGGAGGGCTTTTTTTGTTGAGAATGCGAAAAGGCTAAGAGCTGGCGCCAAAACAGCATGAGAACGCCCAACATATAATGATGCGTCAGCATGGTCTCTCCCCCTCTCCCCCCCACCCCAAAAAAAAACTTGGAACTGAGAATCACACACACACCAGCTGAGCGATTCCGTGTCGTGTGCAGAAAGAGGGGGGTAGCCGATAACCCGGATGACCCAGAAGGGGTCATCCGCCCTGCCGTGCTCAAATGTGTCGAGTGGGAGGTGCAGCCCCATGGCCATGCCCTGTAGCACCGTGCGCCCTAGAGCTAGTGTGGGGGGAAAGCGAGAGGAGGGGAGGGAGAGAGGACAGCAGGGATTACGAACTGTGAGGGACTTGAGTGGGAGGTGCAGCAGCCCCATGGCCATGCCCCATAGCACCGTGCGCCCCAGAGCTAGTGTGGGGGGAAAGCGAGAGGAGGGGAGGGAGAGAGGACAGCAGGGATTACGAACTGTGAGGGACTTGAGTGGGAGGTGCAGCAGCCCCATGGCCATGCCCCATAGCACCGTGCGCCCCAGAGCTAGTGTGGGGGGAAAGCGAGAGGAGGGGAGGGAGAGAGGACAGCAGGGATTACGAACTGTGAGGGACTTGAGTGGGAGGTGCAGCAGCCCCATGGCCATGCCCCATAGCACCGTGCGCCCCAGAGCTGGGGGAGGGGAAAGAAGGAGCAGAGGATAGAGCAGGGACAGCTGATGCTGAGGGACTTGAGTGGGAGGTGCAGCACCATGGCCTGCCCCGTAGCACCGTGCGCCCCAGAGCTGGGATAGAAAAAGCGGGAATGAAGAGCTTGAGAGGGAATACCACGGATCTCATGTTCCTACTTCCGATTTTGTTCACGCATTCCCACCTTTCATTTTCGTCATATAGTCGTATCATTCATCGTCATCACATATTCCTACCTCCCATTGTTGCCACACACTCCCTTGTCTTCATGCTGGTCACACATCCTTACCCTTCATTCTAGTCACATATTCCTCAATAACCGGTCTGAAATGTTCCGGTCGACTGGGCCTGCAATACAGAGAGACGCAAGATAACCGCATCAGAAAAGAGAGACCAGACAAGAAAGACTGTAACATAACTGCAGCTTGCGCATGGCAATATGACCAGAGCAACAAGCAGCAAGCGGCGAGGTGACTTTTGAGTCGACTCAAAAGTCACCTGGCGCATGGCAAAAGGACCAGAGCAACAAGCAGCAAGCAGCGGCTTATCCACGTCGCACTTTCCAATCTGTAAGCTGCAAGGCTTCTATACAAAAAGAAGGAGAGGAAAAAAAGGTTTAAAAGACAAAGAGGGATTGTCAGCAGGAAGGGTGAATAACAGTATGCCAAGGACTGGGTGGCAAGTGCTTGGCCCACCATGGGTTGGGACCATGAAGCGGCTTCCCGGAAAGCACGAGAGGATGATCAGCTGGATGCTCCCTGTACAACTGGTGAGGAGGCAGGGAGAGTGGGAGGGAGAGAGGGAGTGAGGAAGGGCAGAGAGAGGGGGAGAAGGCAGAGAGAGAGGGTGAAGGGAAGAGAGGGACGCAGAAGGAAGAGGTGCACAGAGCTGACACAACCATGCTTGCATGTATGCTGGGGGGAAAAGATGGGGAACGACGAGCCCAGGGAAGCTTGCGATTCTCAGCCAAACAGAACAGTACACCTGCAAAACAGTTTCTTAGAGAAGAAAACTAGTCACATTAACAAGGTTCACATGAATGGCTCAACTTACCAGCTAAGCACAACAACCGGCTCAGATTACTGACTCAACTCACACCAACTGCTCAGATCACCGACACAGCTCACACCAACGGCTCAGATCACCAGCTCAACTCACATCAATGGCTTCATGCATGTCCCGCTGGCCCTGAGTGATGTTCTCTCCGAGCCTCTGGTATCCCCTGCACGCAGCAAAAAGAAGAGTAGAAACTGGGGAAAAAGGCCTCTAAAAAGAAGGAGGAGAAAAAAGAAGGAGGGATTCGAGTGGGTTGTTGTGAGTGGGGGGGACATATCAGTTCCCTTTTCGATTACACGTGCACACATGTAGACCACACCACGTGAACCCCCTCACATGCGCACACCCTCTACCCCCCTCATATGCGCACACCCTCTACCCCCCTCACATGCGCACACCCTCTACCCCCCTCACATGCACGCATCACCCACCCTCCTCACCTCACAGGCCCAAACGCCCTACCTGAAAATCGGAGACTTTGAGAGGGCAATCTCGTTCTTAGCCTCATCAGCAAGTGCAAAGAACTCTCTCCCCACCTCTCGAGCATCGTCCACCAGCTGCTGGGACACACCATGGCCAGTCTGGATTGTGGCACCCACGGGAACAGTAGGCAAGGCACACACACAGGCCGGGCTGAAGTGAGCCATGCAAGGAACTCTCTCTCAACCCCTCAGGGATCGTCCAACAGCTGCTGGGAAACACCATGGCCAGTCTGGCATATGCCACACGGAAACAGCAGGCAAAAACACACAGGGCTGGCCAGAAACATGCAACGATCTCGCTCGCTACTCCTCGGGTTTTATCTACCAGATGCTGGAACTCAACATGGTGGGTCTATCAATGCACATCAATTCCCGTCAAATGTCATAGACCCATTAAGAAGAAGCGTGACAGGTAATGGCACGAGAGAAAAAGAGCTCCTGAATGAGCTCCAATCTTTCATGCTGGGACCGATTAATGACTATGCCCGAATTCCCGTCAAGTGATGACTCTCGTTTATATAAACAGCAGCAGAAGCCCATCGGGTCGCATTGACTTTCGTATCATCGCCGGAAAAGACGCCGTTTTGGAAAACAGCAGAAGGAAACTCACTAGGTAAAAGAAGCCGACTTCCTGGCAAGCTGCATGGATCTCTGAAGCAACCCGCCTGGCTTCGCTGGGGTATGACGCCTCTGGTAAAGCTTCTGATGAAGTTGTTGGTAAAGCTGGTTTCGGGCTGTCTGTGTCAGAACAGAACTCGACGAGGGGAGAAATGTCTGCGGGAAAAAGACAAGACATACAGAACAGTATTAAAGGAGGCGAGTTTTTTAAGAGCCAGTCCGCCTGATGTCGCTGGCGTATGACGCTCTAACGAAGCTTCTGATGACGCCTGACGTCACTGCCTGGAGCATGAACAAAAAGACGTACCGATCTTCGGTAGCTCCTGAAACGTGCGGACTAAGCCGTCCTTATTCGCGACCACGTGCAGCACTCCTAGCTTCTTTCGGCAAGTAAATATTATCGTGGAAGGGTATGTTTTCCGTCGAATCGCAGCAACGCCATGGGTGCGAGATCCGCCCCAGGCTGATGTTTTCTGGCATATGGATGAGAAGAAACAGGTCGCCGACATCCTAAAACTATTTACAAGCGGGGGTATATAATGCTTGAAAAGGATACGTGATACAACTCCGTAGTAAAAACCTAAAATGTTACAGACGACGACAGAGGCAAGCGGGTTTGCGCTGGTTCTAAGAAAGGGAATTTTTTTTAGTAACTTCCTATGCTGTGCATTCTTCTGGTTTGGAATATGAAATTTAGTCGCCCAAGTCTGATTGCAGTCTAGTCTCGTGTGATGATGACAAATAAACAAGAAATTACAAGAAGATGCAAGGGTGTCAGTGACTGTCAGTCAAACTTCACCAGTTCGCGAAAAGTGAAAGTTTGTTCGCATCTCAAATGAGAGCATGCTGCGAGATGGTTGGAGCCGTCACGCGAATTTCGAACTGGTGGTAACTACATTACCTCCGACAGCAAACAGAACAAGACTTGTCCATCCCTCCTCCCTGACTGTCCCATTCTGACTCCTGTCTGTCTTGGGATTGTGTTGTGTCAGATTTTCCCGCGCTGAGGAAGTTGCGGCGGGATTGGCTGGGGTAGGGTGTGACCTGTGGGGGCAACTCCGTTCATTCTCTCTCAACACCTAAAAAACGATTTATATCATAAACAACGTTCAGAACATAAACTACGTCATTGAGTTGTGGATTCATAACAACTTCCACGTGGCCTCCGTGCATCTCGTGCTGCATTGCGCTGCCAACTTGAATCGCCTACATCAGAACATCTCCGGTCAAGTTACCCATACTGGGATCCAGTGTAAAATTTAGGTGCTCTCAGGTAACTCGCGCCCCCTGTGAGGCACGCATGCTGTTCCTTGCTCGTACCTCGTATGCAACTAATACACAATCGTCGCCATGTTCTCAGACAAACAATCAGATTCTAACTCTGTGTCCTCAAAGAGGAGTCCCCTGCGTCCTAGTCGAACCACAATTCCCATTCTATACAAGCTTCCATCACGAGCGCGGGGAGGGATATCCGTTTTCGCCATACTCGCAATCCTCACAGCCACCGTTATTATCACGCACAGCAGCCTGGGAGGCGTCGTTTCAACTGGCATCAACCCTGGCAAAGCCGTGCGCTGGATTACGCGATATACGCAGAATCTGACGGCTCAGATCGCCTTACACCGGGAAATATACACCCCTAGTACTGTAGCTTCGCCAGAAGGTCGTGTAGTTTGTTGGTGGTCCGGAGCACATGGCGGGTACTCAGGGCTGGAAGATCTCGTAGCGGATTTAACAGACCAGACGAGGAGGAAGGGAGGTGTGATAGTGTCGGGGTCTGGCTGTGCTCGCTGCACGGTAGGCGAGCTCTGCGCCTTCGACATCGATATAAGAACACCAGCGGGATGGGATGTGACCCCGCCGCCCGATATTATCGCCGTGGCGCGCGGCGCGACGGCCAATCTCACGCTCAACGTGGATCGAACCAGCAATAATGCTAACTCCAGCGGATATCACAGCGGGGATCACGCCACGAAGGGCGGCGGAGGGGACGGAGGGGACGGCGGATGGAGCGGAAGCGGAAGGGCGATGGGAGTGGGTGATTCTAGAGAGTCTCTTGTAGTGCGTCTAGTGGGGCCAGCGTTAGCGGCAGCGGATGTGACTAAAGAGGGGGGTGACATTAGGAAATGGAGAGTTTCTTACCGCGTGTGGGATGCAGGGAATTACAGCGTGCTCCTTTTATCAGAATGTGGGAATCTGGACTTCACCCCCAACAGCACTGAACGCGCCCTAGGCACGGTGGCTGAATGGAACCTCACTGTGCTCCCAAGCGCTGTTCCTGCTCATCCATCCCCCGCCATAATCTCATCCCCTGATTCAATCACATTCAACAGTTCAGTTGGATCTGCACTGCCAGCCACTGACTCTACCGCGTACACCACTACCGAATCCTCAGACGGAGCTGACTATAACGAGTACCAGGACAACCCATGCGACCACTCAGCGTACGGCCGGTGGCTCTTCGACCCGCCAAAGGGCAAGTACACGTGGCAGCTGTACCCTTGCGCGAAGCCCCTCCCACCGCCCTCTGATTGGCTCAGCGCGCTTCAGTCTCGGGGCATATATGAGATCAACATTGTGGGCGATTCCCATCAACGGTTCCTGTTCAACCACCTCTTTTTCCTGCTCACAGGGAAAGCACACGTTTCCCAGTCGAAGGTCCATCATGATATGAAGCACATGATCATGCCCTCCCCCGCTCGCTCTCCACCTTCTTCGGCTCCTGCTCCTGCTCTTGGGCCTGAAACCCCTGCTGCTGCTGCTGCTGCTGCTGCTGCTGCTGCTGCTGTTGCCTCTGTTCCCACTGATGACGGGGCGTCACTCGGAATGAGCAGTCTGGCTGCAGAGCAGCGGCCGTTGAAGCTCAATTTCTACTGGATTGCCGGGATCTACAACATCGGGCAATACGGATGCAAGTAAGTGCATGCAGCACTGCACAAGTACTAGGGTGATTAACAGGTCGTATCTTGAGTCGACTCAAAACACAACTCACTGCACAAATACTTTGTTTACCAAAGGGTCGTATGCCGTGCCCAGCCCTCTCCAGGCGGCTGACCCCTGCACCTGCACCTGCACATAAACTCGTGGACAGCTGTTTTCTTGTTATTGAACAGGGTGAATGTACAGCTGTCTTTTAGAACGGTTTTCATGATTGGATAGACACGTGGACAGAGGTGAGTTTTGAGTCGACTGGAGTTTACCTGCATATGGACACATGGTCAGCTGTCTTCTTGTCTCTCATGTGTGTGTTCGTGAGTGTAGTGCATGCATGTCAATGCACGTCTTTTCATGCATGCATGCATGTCCTTGCATGTCTGCTCTGCTCATGCATGTATGTGTTGCCACGCATCTCCATGCGTGCAGAAAGAAGTTTTCGAATCAGGGAGGCCCATTCCCAACCATCTCATCAGCAGCAGACGTGACTATAATCAACGGAGGCACGTGGATCCATGGCTTCTGTGACGCTCCTGAAGATGCTTTCGGCTTCTTCCTTCCAAGGTTCCTGCGCTGGGCTTATTTGCAAATGCAGGCGGCTCGAAAGTGGCATGTTGCGAGAAAGCAGCTGCTTGAGCTTATAAAGCAGAAAAAACAGCAGCAGCAGCAGCACCAGCGCCGGCTGCAGCAGACGCAGGAGCAGGAGCAGGAGCAGCAGGCAGTTGCAGGAGGCGACGTAAAAGAGTCTCCAAATGCCACTTCTGAAGCAGGTAACAAGGGCTCCAGGGGCCCGTGGCTGCTGTACCGAACCATACCTCCGTTACCACGTACCGGTTTTTGCCGTTATGGGTCAAACAGTCTCGTATCTCATTTGAATATCGTGGCAATTGCACATCTGGCACGATATAGAATTGGGCTTTTAGATGGGCGGCATGTAGAGGTGCCAAAGATGGAAGACTACTGTAGCGCTCGTGATAACCACTACAGCTGTTTCAGACACCGCCCCAAGTTTGGGAAAGGGAAGGGAATTTATGAAGGTGATGTAGGTGAGGCTATGGTGTACATGACGATGTATAATTTGTTAAATCTGTTAGAATGATTCTCTCCATTCTTTTTACAGGGAGGGACTTGCTCTCATTACAGCCATTTTTGCTTATTTGTTTGCATACTGCACCTTGTTTTATTTTCTTCTACTCAAAATTGAAATTAGTCAAAATTCAGAAATTTTGCGCATAGATTGTGGTTACCGATGTCTTTTGAGCCGCGCATGAGTCCCTGTTTACAGTGATAATTTCGCGCCAAGCCGCGTCAGTTTGGGGATAGCCCGTCAGCATTGTCGGATCGGAGAAGTGCATCCTCAAAATACCATTCGAGAAGGTAATAAGGGGAAATTCTTGTTCCCTCCAATTTCAACCTGGTCTTTATCGCCTGAATGGCAGTGCCCCCCCGCCCCCTTGGCTGAGCTCCCGCGTTTTCTGCGAAACCCAGATTTTCGTCAGTCTGTCCGTGAATACCTTCGCCAGCGGTTCAGTCAGTCATGAAAATCTTCGTAAGCCGTTCAGTCCATTCACATTCGCGGCCCGTCAGAGGCAAACCAGTGCAGAGACAGAAGAGGTCAGCAGTGTCAGTCTCACGTATCACAGGTGACATACAGCCTGGGACTTGCACATTCACATGGAAGCTGTTCGTGGCTTTTGTAAGTTTTTGCGTAGAATTACCCACCCCACCCTTGCAAAGAGATCGAGTCATTCTTTCTGTATATTCACATGTTCTTGCAAGAGTAAACGATGTTCGCTCTTCCGGTCACCCATTCACATGATTCGGACATTGTATCCGCAAAGAGGATCCCCCTGCGTCCTGGTGGAGTCGCATACGGCGTGCTATCCGCCTTCGCTATAGTCGCAATCCTCACGGCCTCTACAATCACGCACATCCCCAATGGCGACTTTTCACCTGCCAGTTGCTTCAACGATAGCAAGGCCGGGAGGTGGAGTCGCACGCGGCTCGAGGAAAACTCGACAGCTCAAAACAACTCACCGGTAGATCGAGTTGTGTGCTGGTGGTCCGGCGACCATGGCGGCTATTCAGGAATGGAAGAATCTGCAGCGGGGGTACCAACGAAGAACCTCTTGAAGAGGAGGCCTTCCGGGAAGGGAGGTGTGATAGTATCGGGGTCCGGTTGTGCTCGCTGCACTGTAGGCGAGCTCTGCTCGTTTGACATCGATATAAGAACACCAGCAGGATGGGATGTCACTCCGCCGCCTGATTTAAGCGACGTGATGCGCGGTGCGACGATCAAACGCATTGTTCGGACCAGCAATAACGCTAACTCAAGCGAAATTCGCGCCGAAAATCACGCCGGCGGAAATGGCAGAGAGAAGAGCGGATCAAGGAGCGGAAGGGCGATGGGAGTAGGTGACTTTAGAGAGTCTCTTGTGGTGCGCCTGGTGGGGCCGGCGTTAGCGGCAGCGGAATTGACTAAAGAGGGGGGTGACATAAGAAGATGGAGAGTTGCGTACCGAGTGTGGGACGCGGGGAATTACAGCGTTCTCGTTCTTTCAGAGTGCGGAAGTCTGGACTTCACCCGCAACAGCACGGAACGCGCCCTAGGAACGGTGGCTGAATGGACCCTCACAGTGTTCCCAAGCGTTGCCACTGCTCCTTCATCCTCAGTTTTTATCCCATTCGCCGATTCAAGCACATCCAACGATTCAATCAGAATCGAATCCTCAGACGGAGCTGACTATAACGAGTACCAGGACACCCCATGCGATCACTCAGCATACGGTCGGTGGTTCTTCGACCCACCAAAGGGAAAGTACACGTGGCAGCTGTACCCCTGCGCACAGCCACTCCCGCCGCCCTGCGAATGGATTAGCGCGCTTCAGTCTCGGGGCATCTACGAGGTCAACATCGTGGGTGATTCACATCAACGGTTCCTGTTCAACTACCTTTTCTTCTTGTTGACAGGAGAGGCGTACGAATCCGACGCCAAGAAATATGATAATATGATGCGCGAGGTCATGCCCTCTCGACCCCCCTCTCCGCCTCTTCTTCCTCCCTCTCCTCCCGCTCCTTCTGCATCGTCCCCGGCTCGTCCCACGACCTCGGCTTCAGATCCGGTTTCTGGAACCTTTGCTCCCCCCTCCCCTTCTGCCGCCTCTGCTCTTGCTGCTGATGTGCCTGCCACCCCTGCTGCTACCACCTCTGCTCCTGCTACTGAGGAGGCATCACACGGCAGCAACAGCAGTCAAGCTGCAGAGCTGCGGCCGTTGAAGCTCAACTTCTACTGGCTTGCCGGGATCTACAATGTGGGGCAGCACGGATGCAAGTAAGTGCATACATGCGGAATTGAATTCGGCTTGCAGAGAAAAGGGAAGGTTCATAGAAAAGAAAGGAGTTTTTTTTTTTGCAGCACGTTTCAATGTTCGAGCAAGCTACCACCTGATTCGTGTTGCCCTCTCTGATGGGCCATTGGTGGTTGTTGTTGTTGTTTGCTTATGTGTTTGATTTTTTTTGCCGTTTACTTGATTTCTTTCTGACTTTCGTGCTCAAGCTCTGAATTACTCCTGACTCGCGATTTTCCGTGTCAATCTTCGCCACACCGCAATGAAATTTGCACGCCATGCCCAGCCCACTCCAGATGGGGCACCTCAATATCCAGCTCTCTCCTGGCAACTGACTTGACAGGTGCCATTCAAGTCTGTGCTGTCTTCATGTCTCTCTGTGTGTGTTTGTGCATTGTGTGATTGCAGGAAGGGGCTCCTGAAGGACGGCCGGTGGTTTCCCAAGGTCTCACCAGCAGCAGACGTCACCATTATCGACGGAGGATCATGGACCCATGCGTTCTGTGAGACTCCCTTAGATGCATTCGGACTCTTCCTCCCTAGGTTCCTACGCTGGGCCTATACAAAAATGCAGCTGGCTCGAAAATGGCAGATGGCGAGAGAGCGTGTTTCTAAGGTACTGAGGCAGAGAAATCAGCAGCAGCAAGAGCAGGGGCAGCAACAGAAAGAGGGGCATGAGCAGGAGCAGGAGCAGCAACAGCAGCAACAACAGCAGGAGGAGCAAGAGCAGGCGGAGGAGGGGCAAGAGGAGGGGGGGGAGGAGCAAGAGCAGGGGGGGGGAGGAGCAGCAGGGGGCAAGTGCAAAAGGCAACAGCGTCAAAGAGTATTCGAGTGCAGCATCTGAAGCAGGTAACAAGAACTCCAGAGGGCCGTGGCTGCTCTACCGGACCATCCCTCCGTTACGGCGTAACACTTTCTGCCAATATGGGTCAAACAGCCTTATTTCACAGTTAAATCTCGTCGCTGTTTCTCATTTGGCAAGATATAACATCGGGCTTTTAGACGGGCGAAGTGTAGAGATGCCAAAGATGGAAGACACATGTAGTGCTAGCGATAACCACTACAGTTGTTTTAGACCCAACCCGAGTCGTGGTGAGGGGAAGGGGATTTATGAAGGTGATGCAGGGGAGGCAATGGTGTACATGACGATGTATCATCTGCTAAATTTGTTAGAGGATGTCTGATGGGAGGGAGCTCATATAGTTCTCTGCACTTCTTGAACACCTTATAAGAGCCATCCTATGCAAAACATGTCACCAATTTTCATGAACCTTGAACGCCTTATAAGAACCAGGCCCAGGGTGGGCTGCGTCAGCTCGTGCTGGCTCGAGCAGTTGTCTGAGTCAGTCAGGCCCCCAGCTGCAGGATTCGGCTGAGCTGGGTGCTGCGTCAGAGGGTGGGTAGAAAGAACCCTACCTCGTATGTACAAGGTGGAACCAACCAAGTCGAGAGACACGGACGACAAGCAGGTCACGCAATAAAAGCTGACTCAGAAACGGTTTACGTCGTTCTAATTGCACGATGTCACGACTGAGAGCGGTTCAATCCGGCTTTGTATATCCCCCGATCTTTCGTGAAGCCCAGAATTTCTCCTCAGTCTCTCCTCCCCTGAAGTCTTTCCTCTTCATGCCTAGTCATCTGTCGTGCGTTGACTTGTGTCGTCCTACGCCATGCCTCGTTTCCTGCCTGCTGGATCTTCCTGCGCGCATTCCGTTCCGTCCCGAATCGAAAGCGCATTCCGCCCTGATGTGTTGTGCAACAAGCCCGAATCGAACGAGCTCTGGTTAGAATTTCAAGTTGATATAAGACAACTCAGGATGGCGATGCTTGTAGTAGTTCTGGCTGGCCGTTCTTGCAAGAATAATCGACGTTCGTTCTTTCAGTCACCCATTCGCATTAGCCGTTCTTGCAATATTAGCGATGTTACTTCTTTCGGTCACCAAATCACACTAGCCGTTCTTGCACGAGTTAACGATGCTTATTCTTTTAGTCACCCATTCACCTACTGACAATGTATCTGCTAAGAGGATTCCCGTGCGTCTTGGTGGAATCACATACCGTGTGCTATCCGCCTTCGCTATAGTCGCAATCCTCACAGCCTCTATTTTCTCGCACAGCCAGAATGGCGTCTTTTCAACTGGCTTTAACATTACCAAGGTCGGGAGGTGGCGTCATACGCGATATAAGGAAGATTTGACTGTTCAAAACGACTCACGCCGCGTCATAATGAGCAGCCCAATCAACAAACCGTCGGAAGACCGAGTTGTGTGCTGGTGGTCCGGCGCTCATGGCGGCTATTCGGGAATGGAAGAATCCGCGATGGGGGTTACAAGGAAGAATCTATTGAAGAGGAGGCCTTCCGGGAAGGGAGGTGTGATAGTATCGGGGTCCGGTTGTGCTCGCTGCACGGTAGGCGAGCTCTGCTCGTTTGACATCGATATAAGAACACCAGCAGGATGGGATGTGACTCCGCCGCCCGATATACTCGACGTGGCGCGCGGTGCGACGGCCAATCTCACGCGCAACGTGGTTCGGACCAGCAATAACGCGAACTCCAGCGGAAATGGCGCCGCGAATCACGCCGCGAATGGCGGCGGAAATGGCGGAGAGAAAGGCGGACGGGAGATGGGGGTGGGTGACTTTAGAGAATCTCTTGTTGTGCGTCTGGTTGGGCCAGCATTGGCGACAGCGGATGTGGCTAAAGAGGGGGGTGACATAAAAAAATGGAGGGTCTCTTACCGCGTGTGGGATGCAGGGAATTACAGCGTGCTCCTTTTATCGGAATGTGGAACTTTGGACTTCACCCGCAACAGCACTGAACGCGCCCTAGGCACAGTGGCTGAATGGAGCCTCACAGTGCTCCCAACCACTGTCACTGTTCCTTCATCCTTCGCTTTAAACCCGTTCTCCGACTCTAGCACATCCACCGATTCAGTCCAAATCGAATCCCCAAGCATATCTGACTATAACGAGTACCAGGACACCCCATGCTACCACTCCGTGTACGGCCGTTGGCTCTTCGACCTGCCAAAGGGCAAGTACACGTGGCAGCTGTACCCGTGCGCGCAGCCTCTCCTGCCGCCCTCGGAATGGCTCAGCGCGCTTCAATCCCGGGGCATAAATGAGATCAACATTGTGGGGGATTCGCATCAACGGTTCCTGTTCAACCATCTCATCTTCTTGCTCACAGGGGAGGCGTACGCGTCCGACGCCAAGACACGTGGTAATATGATGCACGAGGTCTTTCCCTCTCCTCCTCTTCCTCCTCCCTCTCCTCCCTCTCCTCCCTCTCCTGCCGCTCCTTCTACAGATCAGGTTTCTGAATCCTTTTTTCCCCGCTCTCCTGGTGCTTCCTCTGCTCCTGCTGCTGAACTGCCTGACGCCCCTGCTGCTGCCGCCTCTGCTCCTGCTGACAAAGGGACAACACAAGGCAGCAACAGCAATCAAGCTGCAGAGCTGCGGCCGTTGAAGCTCAATTTCTACTGGATTGCCGGGATCTACAATGTGGGGCAGCACGGATGCAAGTAAGTGCACACACGATGCAAGTAAGTGCACACAAACAGAATTGTGTTTGCAAAGAGAAGGGAAGATTGAAGATTCCTAGGAAGGAATAAATCCCTCCCAGCATGTTTTATGCTCGAGCAAAGCTATAGCAGACGTATTTTCATGACCCGCTTGATTCGTATCGCCAGCTTTCTGTTTTGTCTAATGGGCATCACTGTTCGGATGTTCGTATTTTCCATGTCGAACTCTGCCTCAGTGCAACTAGTTTTGAGGCGCCTCAAAACTAGCCTCCCCCCTCCGTTTTTGAGGCGCCTCAAAACTATTTTCCGTGTCGAATTCTGCCTCAGTGCAACATGTGTTTATGCCATGTCCACCCCGCTCCTCAATGTGTGCGTGTGTGCATGTGTGTGTGTGTGTGCATGTGCATGTGTGTGTGTGTGTGTGCATGTGTGTGTGTGTGTGCATGTGTGTGTGTGTGTGCATGTTTGTGTGTGTATGTGTGTCTGTATTTGTGTGTGTATGTGTGTGTGCATGTGTGCGTGTGTGTGTGTGGGGATGTCAATGCAGGAGTGGGCTCCTGAGGCAAGGCCGGTGGTTCCCTAACTTCTCAACGACAGCAGACGTCACCATTATCAACGGCGGGACATGGACCCACGCATTCTGTGACACTCCCCAAGATGCATTCGGGCTCTTCCTCCCTAGGTTCCTGCGCTGGGCCTATACGAAAATGCGGACGGCTCGAAATCGGCGGATTGAGAGAGAGCGTCTATCTGAGATAGTAAGGCAGACAAATCAGCAGCAGCAAGAGCAGAAGCACCAACACCAAGAGGAGCAGGAGCATGAGCAGGAGCAGGAACTGGAGCAGCAACAACAGCAGGAGCAAGAACATGAGGAGGGGGAGGAGCAGGAGGCAAGTGCACAAGGCAGCAGTGTCAAAGAGTCACAAGGGAGCAGCGTCAAAGAGTCTGCAAGTGCAGCTTCTGATGCAGGTAACAACTCCAAAGGGCCATGGCTCCTCTATCGGACCATCCCTCCGTTACGACGTAACACTTTCTGCCATTTTGGGTCAAACAGCCTTATTTCACACTTCAATTTCGTGGCAGTTTCTCATTTGGCAAGATATAACATTGGGCTTTTGGATGGGCGAAGTGTAGAGATGCCAAAGATGGAAGACTCATGTAACGCTGGCGATAACCATTACAGCTGTTTTAAACCCCGTCCAAAAAATGGAAAGGGAAAGGGAATCTATAACGGAGATGTAGGGGAGGCTATGGTCTACATGATGATGTATCATTTGCTATATTTGTTAGACTGATTCTCTAAGTTCTTATAACAATGACTCTAAATATTTTCTGCCTTGAGATTGATAGCTCAATTCTGTGAGGGAACCGCTCTTCACCACAACACATCTAGCTGAGCCTCTCCTGGTCTCAAATCTCTTGGTTGTAGAATTTTGGCCTCGCCCTAAGGACGCGGCACCTCAAGCAATTTTGCACGATCGATCGCAGGTTCGCCGATTCAACCGTACGGAAAACCTTATCATAAAATTTTAATACTTTGAAACCATTTTGAACGCCTAATACATTCGAGCCTGCGCAGGTTCGATCGCAGGATCGGTGCTAGAGGTGCCGCGTCCTAATGCCTTGCCGAATTTCTTGGTTGTAGGAAGCCATTTTTGCCACCCGTCTCAAAACCAAGCATTTCCTATCCCATTCGTGTTTCGCTTCATGGCTTGTCCTCCTGATGTAACTTCATTTTGTCCGCAGCGCGCGATACTCCACTAGATAGCACCGCAAATGGCGCCGTCAAGTCCGCTACTCTCGCCGTCAGCCGCGGCGCTATCGTTCCTGAACTCCCACTTTCAGCGGCTCGAAGATCTCTCGCTCGCGCCGAATCTCCTAGGCAATCTCTCCTCGGAGATTAACGACCTATTTTCTCTCAAAGACGCGCTCTGTTCGTCTCTCGCCTCCTCGCTCCAACCCGCAGATGACGACAACCGAACCAGAAGCTCCAGGCACGGCGAACCCGAGCCTGATGCTCGTCCGGGAATCGTTTCATCCGTGGCTGCTCGCGCGCTCCAGTCCATAGCAGCCACGTCAGAACGAATAGAAGAATGCCACGTGCGCGCCTCCGTGGCGGCCGCTGACGTGCAGCCGATGGTGAATCGGCTTGCCAGGCTGGCAGCTGAGGTGGCGAGATGCGAGAGGGTTAGAGGATACGTCGAGGTGGTGATCGGTTTTGAGCGGCAAGTGGGAGATGTGGAGGAGAAAGTGGGAATGACAGTGGGACTATGGAGGAAAGAAATGGGCTCTGCTGCTTCCGCCTCTGCCTCTACCTCTGCCGCTGCTGCAGCCTCTTCTTCCGCCGCTACTATTGCCATTGCTGCTCCTGGCGCTGGTGCTGGTGGTGCTGGTGGTGCTGGTCCCGTTGTCACTGCTGCTGCTGCTGCTGCTGCTGCTGCTGCTGCTGCTGCTTCCCCTGCTGCAAGTGCCGCCCCCGTCACTTCCAGGAAGCAACCGTTTTGGAACCCTAAGCTCCTTTCCTCCCTCCGCACGGCCTCGCACGCCGTCCTCACCGCATCCAACCGCTCCGCGTCCACCTCGCGCCACCACCCGGCCTGGTCCCGCCTGCTGACAGCTGTCGATCTGCGATTGGACGCTGCGACTGCCGCCCTGCTAGGCCCTCTGATGGATTGCTACAGGGGTTGTCTCGCTGCTGCCAGCTGGCCCCCTCCCCTCAGGAAAGGAGGAGGAGGAGGAGGAGGAGGAGGAGGAGGAGGAGGAGGAGGAGGAGGAGGAGGAGGAGGAGGAGGAGGAGGAGGAGGAGGAGGAAGAGGAGGAGGGGAAGAAGGAGCAGCAGCAGGTGCTCCCGCTATTGCTGCAGGTTCGGCACTGGATCGGCTTGCCGGACCTGGAGGTGAGCTTCGGGCTGAGTTCACGAGCCTGTTTTTGGCGCTATGCTCCCTGCAGCACGCGCAGAAGGTGAGGCGAGAAGCAGAGCAGGTACGGATTCGAAGCGAAAGCGAGGTAGCATATATGGAGGATGGAGAGGAGGAAGAGGAGCAGGAAGAGGAGGAGGAGGCAGACCTAGGGAATATCCGGAACCTTGAGATTATCCAAGTAGAGGAGCCATTACTATGGGGGATGGAGGAGCTGGTTCAGCCAATAGCGTCGCAGGCCCGGCCTCCTTTCGACCAATGGGGAGCGAGCGGGCGGACGGAGTGGGCCTTTGCGCTGACCCTCCGTGTGGCGTTGACTGGCGTTGACTCGTTTGACCTGGCGCTACAGCCGCTGGTGGACGAGGAAGGGCTCACAGGGGTGAGTGTGCGGGAGGGCTGGGTTCGGGCTGTGGTCCGGATGCTCCCGATCCACTTCCTGCGCAGGTCCGTCGTGCCGAACCTGGCTGGGAAGCTTCTGGGAAACGCTGGAGTTTTAGGAGAAGGAGTTGGGGGGGGGGAAGGGGGAGGAAGCTTGGGAGGAGGAGTTAAGTGAGAATGAGGAGAGGGCAGCAGCAGCAAGGGAATGGCTTGGAGTAGTGAGTGAGTGTATCGCCTTTGACTCTGCCATGTCTCGCCTGCTGGCCTTTGGTTCTCCTGCTTCTTCCGCCGCTGCTGCTGCTGCCTCTGCTGGTGTTCCCACCGACGCTGCTGCTGTTGCTGCCGGTGCTGCTGGTGTTGCTGGCGCTTCTGGTGTTTCTGCAACCACTGCTGCAGCTGCTGCTGCGGACAGTGGAGATCTTCCCGTGCCAGCATCAGATTTCTGGGCGGCACTGCAGGTGGATCCCACTGTGGGAGTCTTCGCGGAGCGACCTGATTGGCTGCTGCTCTGGATCAAATTGGAGCACGCCAGCGCACGCAGGGGTGTGCTAGCTGTCATGGGCAGGGACGCTTCCTGGAAGGTTCCTCGGGATGGGGAGGATGAGGCAAGCATGGGGTTGCTGGAGTTGACTTCTACTGGCCTACTGCTGAATGTGGTTGACCGTTCTGGAGCAACGGAAACGGCAGGAAAGGGAATTGTTGAGTTCCGACCACCGCCCGTTGCCCTGCAGCTGATTGAGATTCTCCGGGCGGCTGTCTCCCGATGCGGGCGGCTTTCCGGGACCGTATCTGAAGGCACTGTAGCAAGCAGCACTGTAGCAGGAAGCAGTGACAGTAACGAAGGGAGCGGCACCAGCAGTAGCATCACCAGCCCCAGGGCCATCGGCCGCGGACGGCAGCGCCTGTCTTTTGTCGAGGGGCTCTGCCGCCCGATTCTCTCGGCGTTTCTGAAAGAGACGGAGCAGAGGGCAGACGAGATAGAAGCAGCAGGAGCCCTGGCGAGAGATGGAGACCTGGAGGATATGGCTGGGTGTGCCAATGCTGCGAGGTTTGTGGCTCATGCCCTTGGGACGTGGCAGGATGAAGGGTTCCTCGTGGAGGCATGGGAGGAAGGGAGGAGGGAGAGGAGGGAGAGGAGGGAGAGGCAAGCGAGGAAGAAGGTGAGGGAGCCTCCTTCGCAGCAGCAGGGGAAGAAGGAGGGTCACCAGCAGCAACAGCAGGAGGAGGAGAAGGAGAGAGAGCAGGCTGAAGGTGCAGGAAGTCGGAAGGTGGAAGGGCAGGAGCAAGAGCAGGAGCAGGAGGAGGAGGGAGGAGGAGATGGATGGGAGCTTTTGGATTCTGAGGAGAATGAAATCGAAGGGGAGCAGCAACGGCAGCCTCAGCAACACTGGCAACACCAGCAGGGGGAGAACCAGCAGCAGAAGAAACATTTGGAGCAGCAAGGAGAGAAGCACACAGGGCAACAAGCAGAGCAGCAGATGAACCGCATGCAGGACCTGCTAGACCAGTACTCTGGCCCCGGTCCCGACCTCTTTTCGTCTGAGCTCCACCGCCTCTCCGCCCTGCACTCCACGCTCGTCGCCAGGCTGGCGACAGCTGTCGCGCGCGGATTAGTCTCCCGCAGTGCAGAGTATCCCCGTGCCATTGTGCGCGTCCAGGCCCCTCCTCTCTCCCTTCACTCCCCTCCCTCCCCTCCCACTCCCCCCTCTCCTCCCTCTCCTTCTGGCGATGCACACACTCCCTCCCTCTCCTCTTCATCCCTCGCCCTCTCCTCCTCTCTGGTTGATGCGCTCACCTATCTCCGCCTCCGATTACTCTCCGCCCGCCACTCACTCGACGCGGCTCTCTTCTCCTCCTTCTGGCGCCACCTCGCTGCCTTCCTGGACCGGTACCTAGTGGATAAGGTCGTGCTGGGACGAGAGGTGAGCGTAGGCATGGGTGTGGGGGTGGGGGTGGGGGTGGGGGTGGGGGTGGGGGTGGGGGTGGGGGGTACAGAGGTGGCTGGAGGGGGAGGGGTTGGAGGAGGTGGAAGGGTGAGCGGAGGGCCAGGTGTTTTTTCAGATGGGATGGGGTCCCGGAGTATGAAGAATGTGAAGAAGAGTGCTGGTGGTGGGACAGGGCTTGTGTTGGGCAGCTTGAAGTTTTCGGAGCGGGCCGGACAGCAGTATTCTTATGACATGCAGGTGGTGCTGTCTGTGTTTGAGATCGCTACCCCCCGCCCGCTTAACTTCTTCAAAAAGACGAGAGACGCCGCCCGGCTGATGGCCATGACGGATAGAGATGCCAACGGGTTACTGTTCATGCTGTCGCTGGTGAGTGGGTCTGGGGCGGCATCGTCTTCATCCTCGTTATTATCTTCTTCGTCAAAAGCACTGGCATTGGCCAGTGCAGCTATAGGGGCTGCTGGAGCAGCTGCTATTGGTGCTGGTGGTAGGGATACCGGTACTGGCAAGGATTCAGGGGTTGATAGCCCAGAAGCCAGAGTGCAGCAGCAGGAGCAGCAGCAGCAGGTGGAGGAGGAGGAGAGGCAACAGAGGGCGGCAGCGGCGTTGAGAAGGAGAGGGATTTTGCATTTACAGGCAGGGGAAGTGCAAGCTGTGCTAGAGAGACGTGCGCTGCCAAAAAGGTAGCTGGTAAACCATTAAATATTTCAATCAGGTTCTCAGAAAGTATCCCTAATCATCAAATTTTGACTAGACCTGTGAAATAGCTGGTAAAACCTTATTTGACATTGGTTGGCTTGTTTGTTTTGGTTAACACACCTTGACTGAACTGAATAATTTCACAATAGGGTGTACATTGCGTCGTTTGGGTTGTCGGCAGGCCCCTAGATTCGTTTTGAGGTAGTCTGACGCCTCAGAGTACACCCCTCCTGGAACTCTGTCTGTCAGAGGTGCCTCAAAATTTTAGTCTGAAAATTCAGACAAGCACAACTTTTTTTGTCTGAACTGTCAGAGTTACCCTCAAATTTTAAGATGATGATGCAGTATCGTAAAAGCATATTTATAATAGCATTGAAGCTGATTACAGCATACCAACTCAACTGTGCGGTACGAACCAGTCAGGGGTCGGCGGGTTTGCATCAGGCAACGTGCTCGTGCATCGCCTTGGTGCAGCGCATGGGTTGTTTCTGCTGATTAGATTTCGTTTCGTCGTGTGTCTGATTACCGTTTCGTACCCATTTTCTCGCCTGTGTGCCGATTTTGTCAATTTTGGATTTGCGTTTCAAGCGATGTAATCATTCACCCGATATGGTTGTTGTCACGTACAGTGCCAGGTGGGCCAAGTGCCACGTAGCTGAGCTGGCAGCAGGCAAGAACTGTTGGTTGGCGTGGCGTGTGTGAGCATCTGGCAGTGCCGCACGAAAACTTTCACTACGAATCAGGAGCTTCGCAATTTCACAGCAGTGCGTGCTGGTGCTGCAGATTTTTTTACAAAGAATCAGCATCAAAATCGCCAATTCTTTAAAATACATTAGCGATAACTTGCATGTGACGAGATTTTGTCTACGAAATCTCGTAATCACGCAACCATTTTCTTAGTGTAACTGGGAGATATTCTCGACGAACGAGTGTATTCGGATGTCCCAGCTGTTGAAGCGTGCGCTGCTCACGTCCTGGCACTCCACTGCCATCTCGGAAGTGGGCATATCGAAACGAAACTTCTAGGAAACTTCGTTTCGATAAGCTTGCAGAGTGCACCCCCCGACACATGTCTGAGGCTCAGGCCTACACCCCTAAAAATTGGCTGAAATTTCAGCGGTTCCAATAAAAAAAACTCTGAAAAAATCAGAGAAGGTACATAAAAAAAAAACTTACAGTTCAGACCAGGTACAAAAAAAAGGTCTGAATGGACGCTGAATCAGCGTAAAAAGTCTGATATCTAGGGCACTGGTTGTCGCTATATCCATGCAATACCAGTTGCAGGCCTCTTGATATTAGGGTAAATCACCCTTATGGCCCTTACTATAAGGGCGTGTTCCTACGGCCCCTTATCAGGGCAACCTTTTATCAAGCTCGCTACTTTTCCCCCTGAAAATTCCCTAAACCCAAAAACCCTCACTACTTTTACCAGGCAAGGCTGACAAGAGGTTTGCCTGATAAGAGCGTAAGAACACGCCCTAAGAGTGGGTTTAGGTGTTCACCCTGATTTTACAGAGTTGTATTTTAGGGTGCCCTTACAATAAAAAGTGAATTTTTGTGTAAAACTGATATTTCAGATCGACCTGGTGTAATCGCCCTGATGACAACGAGTAGTGTTGGGTACCACCTGATGCTATTTTTTATGAGTGACGGTCATTTCATATATTTTTTTTGGGAGTCGGGTGTCAGAATATTATCTTATGCTCTAGCCTGTAGTGGGGGTGCTCTATAGCAAGTACAACCCTTCTAGGGTTTGCTATTTGTATCCTCATTCTTGCTATTGCAATCCTCTTCTCTCTTCTAACTTTCACATGCTATCAGAGCAGGTCGATCCCCTTGGATCGATCCTGTGGGTGGGTTACCACCTCCTCGCTTCCGCTGCAACACCTACACTACTCTCTGAGCCGCACGCCCCGTGGCTGGGCGGCACTTTTTCTTCCCGCTGTGCGCCACGAGGCGCGCGGCGGTTTTCGGCTCGCCGTGCGCCCGAGGCGGCGCGGGCGGCTCTGCCCCGTCGTTTGCCGCGCCGCCCGCTGGAGGCGCCGCGACGGGCGACGGGGTACCCACGCGTCGCCCCCTGTCGCCCGTCGTGGCCTGCGCGCGGCCCCGTTCAGGGAGCGCTGCGGCCCGTACGGGCTGCGCCAGGTCCCGCGCGCCACCTGTTACGGGCTGCGCCAGGCCTGCGCGCGGCCCGTAAGGCCTGCGCCAAGTCCCGCACGCGGCCCGTACGGACGGCGCCAGGCCCGCGCGCGGCTTGGGCCGCCTCTGCGCGCGGCTCGGGCGTCTGCAACCAGGCCCGTGGTGGGCCCCTTCCTCGATACCCCTGCACTCCCCGCTGTCCCCCCGCTTGCTTCTACTGGCGCCCCACTCCTCCTACACCCCATTCTCCTGAATTAGGGTTTGAGGGTGAGGGGTATGGGGTGCCCTCATGGTGTGCCGTTCCCTGCTCCTCCTCCTGCTCCGTCTCGCTGTGCTGCAGCTGCCCGCTGAAGGGGGTGGAAGTGTTGGAGCCGGTGGAGTGGTACTAAGGGGGGGTGAAGGGGGAAGTGGAGCTAGCGGTGTAGCAGCGGGATGTGGTGCCAGGGGGAGTGGGATAGTTTGGGGAAGCTTCGTGGAGGTTGCCGTCGTGTCGCCCAGCAGCACCTGTAGTCCGGGGAGTTGCTCCAGTAGCCCAGTCGTAGTCAGCTGTGCCAGAGCCGCCCGTGGGTCCATTGCTCGTCTGCCGCTACTTTAGCCGCGGGGGCCAAGTTACTCCAGATTCCGGAGCGTTTGTTCCGGTAGCCGCCGTGCCAGCGTGCCTCCTGTTGCCCGTGTGTCTGCAGCTTCAGCCGTCGCCGTCCTTTCTCCTCTCCTCTGACTCTCTCTCTCCTCCTCCTCACGTGCCCGTTGTGACTACGACTAGCTTTGCTCATAGTTGTGAACTTTAAACTATTGCTTCTTGAACTTGTGCTCAGAATGTGTGGTGACATTGTGATCCACCCTGAGCTTGTACTGCTTTGCTTGCTCTGCTGATTACACCCCCACTTTGGCTATGGGGGTGTGTTCAGAATGTTATCTTATGCTCTAGCCTGTATGTGGGGTGCTTTATAGCGAGTACAACCCTTCTAGGGTTTGCTATTTGTATCCTCATTCTTGCTATTGCAATCCTCTTCTCTCTTCTAACTTTCACAGAGGGGGTTGATTCACCGACGTGATTTCTGCCACGATTAGCGGCGATTTGCCCGAGTCACCAGAATTGCGCGTCGCCAAGACCGCCTGCGTCGCCACAGCTACAGTCCTGCAACCTGTACCCGTACCACATGCATTTTGCATGCCTGGCGGTGACACACAGCCCCACACAGGTGTGCATCATCCAGGAGAGTCCTACTTGGTCCCTTCCTCCCTCCCCACCAGACCCCCGCCCACCGACCAGCCGCTCTCACCCAACCCCAACCCAGTCAGTTCACTTTATTCATCCAGTTTTCCTCCTCGTGGTCTCGTCTAGGGTTTGCAGACCGCGCCTTCCTGCTGCTATTATAAGCATAGCTCCAGCATCTACTCCAAGTCCCTCGTCATGGCTGTTGTCACCAGCGGTGAGGATGACGACGAGGCTCGTCGTCAGGTCCTGCACTCACCCTCATGAAAGGGCCTTCGCTTTTTAACAGTGCCTTCTAAGCGACTGCTTGAACCAGAGCCGTCGTTGCCTCTACTGAGGCTGAGACCACGCTGGCTGAAGCGGGGCGTGACGTGCACCACGAAACCTGAACTGACACCACGAAAAGCACAACACATGTAATGGAGAATACCGTGCTGCTCACAACTGTGTTGCCAAGAAGCTGAAATCTGGTTCGTGTTCGGCACGGCAGAAGTGGCGGCAGCAACCTAAGTCGAGTTTCACTCGCGGGGCTCATGCATACGGTTAGCAATGCTTCAATGGCTGGCAAGAAGCGCCGCCCTGC